ATAACTGGATGGGAGGCTAGACCCCCCTGCCCTTGACAGGGCGCCTGTGAGAGGCAATCAATCAATGTGTCTCTCTCACATCAATGCTTCTCTCTCTCTCTCCCTCTTTCTCCCTCTCTTCCTCTCTCTTTCTCCTCTATCCCCCTCTCTTCCCCTCCCTTTCCCTCTTCTACTCTCTCTAAAAAATCAATGAAAAAAAATCCTTGGGTGAGAACTAACCAAAAACTAACTAACTAACTAACTAACTAGCTAACTAACTAACTAAAAAACAGACACAGACAACAGTATGGTGGTTACCAGTGGAAAAGGGGCATGGGAAAAGGTTGAAGAGAACAGAGAGCCAAATATATGTGATGGAATGAGACAAGGTTTTAGGTGGTGAGCATACCATGCAATACACAGATGATATATTATACATTTGTACATCTGAAACTCATATAATATTACTAACCAAAGTCACCCCAATAATTTTAATCTGTGATGATGGTAGGACCATCTGCATCTTGTATTTCCACTATTACCTGGGTACAAGACAAGCACAGTACTGATAAAGAGTGGTTCTCAATAAATATTTATTAAATAAAGAAATTGATCAAAATTACTCTGATTCTTGCTTTCTCTTTGATCTTTATATCCAGCCTACATGTATGGGAAAGATTATCCTTTCCTTATTCATCAATTTTTAGTGTCACAGAAACAAAATATTACATTTTTTGTTGTTGTTAATCTTCACCTGAGGATATTTTTTGATTGATTTTTTTAGAGAGAGTGGAAGAGGAGGGTGGAGAGAGGAGAGGATAGAGAGAGTGAGAGAGAGAGGGGGAGAGAGAGAGAGAGAGAGAGAGAGAGAGAGAGAGAGAGAGAGAGAAAGAAAGAGAGACATGTGAGAGACACATTCATTGGGGTTTCCTACATAAGCCATAATGAAGCAGGGATCTAATCTGCAACCCAGACATGTGCTCTTGACCGGGAATCAAACCCACATACCCTTTGGTGCATGGGTTGACACTCTAACCACTTAGCAACATGGGTCAGAGTCAAACTATTATATTTTAAATATTTTTTTTCTCCTTGCTATCTAGAAACTTTGGCAATGGGGAAAGCCACTTGATAACTCTTATTGGAGCAGACTTTGACTGGGACAGGCTGAATATGCTAGTTGTTAAAAACTGGCTCATCTGATAGGAAGCCATCAAATACAAACTTGAATCACTATTATACAGACAGACACTCCTTTTGAAAGAAGATCTATGTCTTTTTACCTTAAGGATAGGGAGTAGAAAACAGCTTCTTATAAACTAAGAAGAGAAATGTTTACAAATCAGTTTTGGCCACAAAGTTGATATTGGTGATGGGTGTTCAGAGGAATAAAATGCTGAACTGTGCTTCTTCCACTTCCCAGTGCTATTCACCCAACAGCTTCCCTCAGAGCTACTTCTGTCTGCTCACCCAACTCCATCCCTGAAAGCTTCTAGTTTATTTATCCTATCTAATAAAAGAGTAATATGCAAATTAACCATCACTCCATCACAAAGATGGCGGCGGCCATGGAGCTCGAGCAAGCAGGAGGCTTGGGTTGCCCTCAGCAATGGAGGAAGCCAAGCTTCCTGCCTGCCCTGGCTGGCTGTGGGCTCCGCTCAAGGCTACAAAATTTCAATTATAGAATATAAATAAATCCCAGATACCTGCTTCCAGCTGCCCTGGCCTCTGTTCAAGGAGGGGCTGAGAGCCTGGGTTGCCAGGGGCAACCTGACCTGGGCTCCACTCAAGGCTACAAAGTTTCAATTATAGAAGATAAATAAATCCCAGGGAAAAAAATTAAAAAGAAAAAAAGAAGAGGCTGGGAGCTTGGGTCATCGGGGGGCATGGCCAGTCTGAAAACAGCCCTCAACTCCTCACCCAGGCTGGCCAGGCACCCCAGTGGGACCCCCCCCACACACCCCCTGAAGGGGCTGTGGCCAGCCTGCAAACAGCCACCAAGCCCTCACCAGGCTGGCCACACCCCTGTGGGGTGAGGGTCACTCCTGGGATGCTTGACCAGCCTGCAAACAGCCATCAGCCCCTCACCCAGGCTGGTCAGGCACCCCAGTGAGACCCCCAACCTGATCCAAGACACTCTTCAGGGCAAACCAGCTGGCCCCCACCAGTGCACAAGGCCTCTATCCTCCTATATAATAAAAGGGTAATGTGCAAATTGACCCTAACAGCAGAATGACTTGGAATGACTGGTCACTATGACACACTCTGACCACCAGGGGGCAGACGCTCAATTCAGGAGCTGCCCCTGGTGATCAGTGTGCTCCCACAGGGGGAGCTCTGCTCAGCCATAAGCCAGGCTGGCAGCTGCCAGCACAGCGGTGGTGGCGAGAACCTCTCTTGCCTCCTCAGCAGCACTAAGGATGTCTGGCTACATTATAGGCCTGCTCCCCGCTGGCAAGTGGACATCCACTGAGGACTTCTGGGTTGCCAAGGGATGTCTGACTGACAGGTTATGCCTGATCCCCCGGGGAGCAGGCCTAAGCCAGCAGGTGGGCATCCCCCGAGGGGTCCCAGACTGCAAGAGGGCACAGGCCAGGCTGAGGGACCCCCTTCCCCCCCTGAATGCACAAATTATTGTGCACCGGGCCTCTAGTAAATTATATAAATGGTTAAAGGGCTCATTTATTTATACAATATCTTTTGAGCAGCAATCCCTGAAAGAATTACTATTTTGTAGGGCTCACTTTTTTAAATGGATTACAACCCAAAATCAATAGAAATAGGAAACAGAAAGAATGATAAATCTATGCTGAGCCCAATTGATATGGCTCAGTGTCAACATATGAACCAGGAGGTCACAATTCAATTTCTGGTTAGGGCACATATCTGGCTTGTAGGCTGGATCCCCAATAGGGGCCTGCAGGAGGAAGCCAATCAACGATTCTCTCTCATCATTAATGTTTCTCTCCTCCCTCTCCCTTCTTCTCTGAAATTATATATGTATTTTAAAGTCTATGCTGAGATCAAGTTTGCTAGGAGATTTAAGATATAGATTCAGGGGAGAGGACCCCTCAACACCAAACCCCACATTTCCCTGCCTCTCCCCACAACATAAACACAAACTCCTATCTTCCTTTACCTGGAAAATCTGGGTCCATTCTCTAAATGTGAAGTCAATGCTAAGCTGAGGATATTGAGGAAGAGGAGGAAAGAGGAAGTTAGGGGAGAAGCTGCACAAACTTGCTCATGTAAGAGACAAGACCACCTTACTATCTATAACAATTTTCTGCCTTTTTTTTTTTTACCTTTCTCCAGACTTGGTGCTGGTGGATTCCATCATTGGTGCACATATTGGGCCCTTCCATACATATTCAGGCAAAGTAGAGCCAGTAAAATACTGGATTATTTTGTAGTTCCAAACAGGTAGCCCAGGATCGGTCACAGTCAGGTCCTGACATTGGCCTAACCAGAGTTCCTCCAAATAGGTCCCAGAGATAACACACCTGGTTGTGAGCTTTAGAACATATCAGAGCATGACCCAATGATCTCACAAGCAATGCACCCAGAGGGAGATCTTGGTAGGCACCCGACCCTGATGGGGAAATTCTGCTTTATTGGGTCAGACCCTTCATAGCAGCTTTACACTGGTTGATGTTTATCCTCATAGTTAGCCAGCATGAGGGTCAATTCCATGCATGGATGGGCCAACAGCAATCAAGACTCAACTACAATAAGACGACTCACTTATTCCACACATGGAACATTCCTGGGAACCTAGCTCAAGTGGTCAGGGAGACTGTGCCACTGAACCACACAGGACACCTACTATGTAAGATCAGCATACCAAGACTGGAGACATAGCAGAATTACCTAATACACAGACACAAATATAGACAGGCAGACAAACTGGGGAGACAAAGAAATAAGCTCCAAACAAAAGAACAGAAAAAAATCACCAGAAAAAGAAGTAAATGTAATGGAGGCAAGCCATCTACCTGATACAAAGTTCAAAACAATGGTTATAAGGATGATCACAGAACTTAGTGAGAACTTAAATGGAGAGATAACAAGTATAAAAAAAAGATATAGAAACCACAAAGCAGAACCAGTCAGAAATGAAGAATACAATGTCTATAATGAAGAATACACTGGAAGGAATCAACAAATTTGGTGAAGCAAATAATCAAATCAGTGTTTTAGAAGACAAGGTAACAGAAAACATCCAATCAAAGTATGAAAAAGAAAAAAATAATTTTTAAAAGTGAGAATAATTTCAGGTACTTCTGTCACATTATAAAGCATAAAAACATTCCCATCATAAGGATACCAGAAGGAGAAAAGAGAGACCAAGAGATTGATAACCTATTTTTAAAAATAATGATGATCATTTAAATGGCAAAGCCTAGAAACCAAAAGTGAATCTTAAAAATAGCAACAGAAAGACAGTTACTTTTAAGGAAGCTCCCATAACACTGCCAGTTAATTTCTCAAAAGAAACTTTTAAGGTCCAAAGATTTTGGTGTGAAATATGAAAAGTAAGGACCTAAAAGCAAGATTACTCCACCTAGAAAGTTCATCATTTAAAACTGATGGAGAGATAAAAGGCTTACCAGGCAAGAAAAAGCTTAAGGAATTCATCACCACCAAACCAGTATTACAAGAAATTTTTAAGGAACTTCTCTAAGAAGAAGTAACAATTTCTAAAAAGCAACATGGGTATAAATTTTTTAAATGTCAATAAATAAATACTTATCAATAATTAATTTAAATGTAAATGGATGAAATGCTCCAAAGGGCATAGGGTAGCTGAATAGATGAGAAAACAAAACAGACATATATGCTGTATACAAGACACTCCCCACAGAATAAAGGACACACAGACACTGAAAGTGAAGAGATGAAAAAGATATTTCATGAAAATTAAAATTAAAAAAAAAGAAGCTGAAGTAGCATAGTTATATCAGACAGCATACAATTTTTGACTCTCTGGACTACCTTGGATGCCCAGTGACTCCCAGTACCTTTCAGGTCTTGCTTTTGCTTTTCAATGTGCACTTGAACTTTGGTCAGATAGCACCTGTGCTCTTCTGGGGTGCCATCGCTGCCTCCCTGGAGCATCTTTGCATAGAGGAAGAGGTCGTTTGTGTAGAAGTGACTCTGATTATCACTCTCCAACTTCTCAACCACAGCCATCAGCTTCTTCAGCTGCTCCCTCTGCTCCTTCTCAGTAGCCTTGTTGTTGAGGCCACAATACCTATTTTTACACTCCTGGATCAGGCTCTGCAGGCTGTGATTGTCCGTTTTGTCTACATAGTCATCCAAGGACCCGTCTCCTAAGTCCTCCTTGTGGGTGAAGATGACCACCACGTGTTTCATGGCTCCTGCCCCAAAGACCTCCTTCACCCTCCTCACTGCGACCATGTCCTGGGCAGTGAAGTGCCCCAGCTGTGTCACCAGCAGAAGCACATGGGGCCCTGGGGCTGAGAGCAGATAGCAGTCCCCGATGTCCTTGTACATCTCTTGGCCCTGGGCCTTGGCTTCAAAGATGGAGGGTGTGTCAACCACTTGGATGTTCCTTCCATTCCACTTGCCTGTGGCCTCCTGGCACTCCCTGGTCACAGGCTGGACCGCCAGCCTGGACTCAAACATAGTTTCACAGAGGATGCTATTCCCAGTGGCACTTTTTCCGCAACCAGATTTCCCCACCAGGATGACCCTCAGTGAGGAATTTGATGCCAACTGGGTATCTTCTCCACTGCCTGAAAAGAAAAAAAATTGTGTGTCTTATTAAGCTAGTGCTGCTCCCAATTTTTAAGTCATGGACCCTCATGGGATCTCATTAAAGCTGTGGACCTCCCTCCCAGGAAACTCATATCTAAATACATACAAAAGTTTCCAACAAATTTAGGAGGTTCTTGATTCATAGGAAGTCTACATAGGAAACCCACATTGGACCCATAGCCAACAGTATGAACTTCTATACTGAGGAGGTTGCTCCAAGTCCTTCTCAAGACCAAGGAAGATAGTTTTACTGGAAGAAAAGTGGTCCCTGTGTTTCTGCAAGGATGGTGCCTGGCCCATTTCATGTTAAATAAATGTGTTTAGAAGGAAGCAAAGGATGAGAGGCCACACATAGGAAAATATTAACACTTCTTTTCACTCATAAATAACCAGAAACACTTATGTAGAAGTGCTCAACATATTCACCTAAACCTTGGGAGAAAAGGAAGTGTCAGCTGTGACTTTCCACCAAGGACCAGCTGAGGTCCCTGAGTCTCTGTTCTTTGGGTGGGGAATTCTCCGCTTGAAATTGAGACAATAGAAAGGTCATAGTTACTGTCAAAGGCAAAGCCAGAGAGATAACTCAGGATGGGTGGCTGAAGAGGATGGAATTTAAGACCATTAGTAGTACATGTGATGGAAAATTCTCCTACTTGGCTGATTGAATTACAGGAAGTTAACAAAAGTGGTGTTGGAGAGGGCAACATTGAGCTAGGAGCTAAAACCTTCAAGGGACCAAGAAGGGTGAGAACCAGGAAGTTCTAGAGTTCTTATGAACCCAAATGGATTCCAAGTTCATTGCAGTCTCCTAAAATGTATTATTTTATTTCTTCTACTCGGTGTTGGTTCTTCCTTTTCTGCAGTGTTCTGGAATGTTTTGTAGTCTGCATGATTAGCAAATCTTTCTGGAAGACATCTCCATTTTCTGCTCAAGGTGGACAAGGAAAGTGAAATTTATTCACAATTCAGTTCAAAAGCCTGCAACTTCTGACCTGAAGTTTCATTTTCACATTTCCCACACATCATGTGCAAGGAGAGCATTGTACTGAAGGGATCGGGTGGAGGTGGGGGTGAAGATGGTGGGGAAGGTAAAGAAGAAATGAGCACTGACTTTTTCTTCTTCAGTTTAAAATCACTGGGTTTCTGTCACTGTGTTTGAGGTGAGGAAACGGTGCCTCTTAAGAACTTGGAGCCTTTCTTACCTTCAGCCATAACTCCATATCTGCTCTTTGGAAGTCCTTCCATCCTCTTATGGAATAAAAACAAGAAAAGAATAAAAAGTGAGTGTCCACATGGAGTTGGTAAGTCCTGAGGTCACCTCCAGTTCAGACTCCTAAGAATAATTCTCCATCGAGGAACCATTTCCATTGCTAATTTCCTAACTCACATTCTGCCCTCAAAAGTCTATACATAACTTTAAAAAAACCTGGTGATGCTAACACAATGCACTGTGAACACAATGCTTGGTCCCTTTTTTTTCTGTCTCAGCTTACAGGAAAGCAGGAAATGCTTTAAAGCCAATCCATTGCTTATGTCCCTCCAACTAGAAAAGGCATGAAATGAAAAAAAAACATTATTTTATAGAATGAGGAGGGGAACATTATCTTATTTTATGCTTTGGATTCATAGTAGACCAACTTTCTGGAAAAAGTACTTCCCCTCATGTCAGTCCTTGAAGGACTCATGTCCCAGATCCAACCTTCTCCTGGGAAGGTGCACTGTACTTTTCCTCTTGGCCACTGGATACCCATGTGACACAAAGAGTGCCAGGCATAAGAAATTCTCATTAATTCAAACAAGCCAATGTCATTTATAGCATGGTATTTTTTTCTCTGTTCTAGCAAGTTTGTGATTAACCCCCTGAGCAGTTGGTGGGGAGAAGGGGGTGCCATGGCCAAAGAGAAAGCATTAACATTGAGGACAAATTCAAGAAAAACTCACCTCCTGCTCAGAGTTTAATAAAATGTTTTTCATGGCTGCTCTGAGGTCCTTGTCTCCCAGTGATCACCATTTTGTATCTCAGAAGATTTAAAGAGAAATTGGTACAACCATTGGCATGAATTGGCATAAATGTTACATTCAAATGAGGCATAATATTGTGTCACTCATTTTGTTGTTAGAAAAGGGAAGTATGTGCCATACCTAAGATGAGTTTATATTTGGTTATTCAGTTTTAAATATTATGCAGTTATGAAACAAGTTTTTAAGTGAAGATAATACACGAACTTATGAAACAAAAACCTACATTTGCAATGAACAAAATATAAGTTTTTTGGCATTTTTACTATAGGTACTCTGTTTGATTGAAAAGTTTACACATTACACATGAATTTCATTTATGTTTTTTGACTCCCCAGGGTTCTTTTCTTTCCCACTGTCATTCAGAGGCAACCAATAGTCTGAGGTTTTTATGTATCATCTCATGTGTGTATTTACACTTCTACATACACATGTATCTATAGATAATGTCTAATACTGTTTTTGCATTTTAAACTTTTACATAAATGACATTATTTGTGTAAAATTTTTATCCAGTTATTTATTAATAAACTTTTAAGCTGTTCCAAAATATATGTTTCCTGCAAAATAATCCCCACATACTGCATATCTCTGTGCAACAATTGATGGGTGGCTTTCACCTAACTAGTTATTGTCAATATGACTCAAGACCACTATGCTAATTCTCACTGACATGAGCCATGTGTGAGAAGTCCCCAAATCTGCACCTTTACTTGGTGATATTACACTCTTAATTTTTTTTTATCACATCAAGGACAAACATAATGATGTCTTCATCAATTTACATGTCCGTTTTACTGATTACCTTTGAATTTAAAAATGGTTTTCATAGTTTGCTATTCAGGTTGTTTCTGTAATATAGAAATATTTGCACACTTTTCTATTAATTTAGTGGGATTTTTTTTGACTCTCCTTAGGTAAGCCATCTATTTTCATATTTTCCTTTTTTCTTTCTTCTCTTCTGACCCTTTCTCACTTCCTTTGTTTAAGCCCAGGGATGAGCATTTCCTCACACCCTCTTCCATAGACTATCCTTGACCTTGGGAATTTATACTCTGGCTCTTGATAACCCTGCTCAAATTCGATGATATTTTTCTACACTACATGACCTTTTGTGAGGAAACTGAGCAACAAATGACCTGCCCAAGGTCACGCAATTGCCGTGGAGCTAAGACTGAAAAGTAGCTCCTTTTGCCAGTGAATTCTCGAGTCCACAGGAGAAAAATTATTCTAAATAAGTCCCCAGCCTCTTGGACCCCCACATACAGTATGGCTATCCATGGTCAGAAGAAAAACTGAAGCTAACAGGCTGGAGGCCTGCCCTGAAACCAACACAGACAATTGTACTGTAAAATATTGGGTGGATGCCTTTTCAAAATAGGTTACTCAAAGAGAAAACTGCAGGAGGCAGGAGTTGCTCTAAATTGAAGCATTTCAGGTTAAAAGCACCTGTGTTTTACTGACTTGATATTTTGTGTGACCCAAAAGGAGCAGGGTACTTGACACTGAAAGTCAACCAAACTCAGGTAACAGTAGCTACGATGCAGGGTAGTCTTCGGAATGTGTCAGGTGGCAGGGGAGACTTCCAGAGGGGAATGGGCTTTTACGCAGAAATTAATACATAACAAAGTGTCTGGGGAGAGTGACAAAGGATATAAATGAAGATGCTAAAATGAGTCACAAAGTATTAACATGACTGTAGAGCTAACCTGTTTTTCTCAGTGGTTAGAGCATTGTCCCAGGGACTGAAAGGTCCTTGGTTCAGTTCAGGTCAAGGGCACCTACCTCCATTGCAAGCTCAATCCCCAGTACCAGGAGGTGTGTGTACAGGAAGCAACCCAATGGATATGTCTCTCTCCCACCGATGTTTCTCACTCTCTGCCTTTTCCCCTCCCTTCTACTCTCTCTAAAAATCAATGGGAAAATATCCTGGGTGGGGTTAACAAAAACCAAACAAACAACAACAACAAAAACAGCTTAAGAAAAGACTGGGGGAAGCATGGCAGACCTGCAGGAATGTGGTGCATGTCAATCTTGGATCAGGCCAAAGCGGGAGGACAGAGAATGGAGGCATATTCCTCGTCTAAAAGGAAAATTCTACTCATCTTCTCCGAAATGAGAGGGTGGCAGTCAGTGTGCAAGCAGAGGTTATAACAGCATTGGCGGGACAATAGGAGGGTCTAGTTCAGACAGGGGGTTGAAGGAAATGAACATAATGTACCTTTTGACTTTAAAATTACATGAGCCTGGTTTTATCATGGAGATACTTTTCTGTACCAGAAAGCAGGCTCTCTCATGCTGTTTTAGGAAAATCAAACTATATCTTGTCTGCCTTGTTCACAAGTGTCTCCTTCACTCAATGCCACAGCCCCCATATTTCCTGTTTTTACAGTCCCCTGTTTTATAGTTTAGCTCTTGGAATTTCTAGGTACATCTCTTACAGAAATTTCAGCAAATGGATTGTTCCAGGTGCCCTGAAGATGAGACTGTTTGTCATACAGCCGAGTCCTACCTCTTGTCAGAGGAAAGGTGTGGGCTATTTTGGGGGAAATGGAGTGGTTTGCAGAAGGACAAAGTCCTAAGATAATGTGTACTCAGGGGTCTGTGACTTGGAGAACATGTGGCTTAGTGGAGGTGTCACTTAAGAAGTTAAGATGGTAAATTAAGAAGATTTTCCCTATTTAATGGGGAACCTGGGGAGGTTCAATTTTTCCATCTGTATAATGGGATGAGAATATTCATTCAGCTTCATGAAAGCCTGTGAATTCCCATGAAATGTCAATGGGGTAGTCAATTAGCTAGAAAGCCAGGAACACTTTGGAATGTACCGGGGTGTGGGCACAGGGTGAAAGTTTCCCACATCTGTCAACCCTCTGTTGCTCCTAGCACCACCATCATCATCCCCCTTCACTGATGGGTAAGCCCAGAAGTTGAGTAACTAGAAGTTGAAATCACACCAGCAGTGAGTGACTTTTACTAGGCCATGGGCTCTCACACTTCTAAGGCACTGGGACCCACCCCAGTATCTCCTTACCTGGGTCGGAGATGTGTTCTGTGGCCCTGCTAATGCGCTCCCAGGTTTCAGGAAGGTGCGTGGGGCAGACACAAAGGAAACCAGGCCTTTACAGTTACACAGGAGCTCCCTGGAGGCCGAATGTTCCAGGGCGAGACTGCTGGGAAGGAAGAAGAAAGGGGATTGCTGAATGCCTTCCCCCAGACCCCCACAATAAGGACAGGTCCTTGGAGTGAGTGGCCAAACAGTATCTAGAGACCAGAGGGCTGGGGCTGTGTGCTGTGTCCCCTTAATCTGACGCTTCCTGTCAGAGCCTGCCAGCTGCCAGGCCACCTCCCATTTCCTTTTTATGACTTGTTAGATAAGCAATGTGTGGAGGAAGAGGCTAGCAGGCAGTGACGGACCCCAAGCCCCATCAGATTCAGAAACAAGCCCCTGTGACACAGAAAAGTTCCTATGGGACACTAGCCCCCAAACCCTATCCCCAACCCCATCCCAGCACTCATCACAGGAGCACCTGCCAAGCCTTACTCCCCAAGACCCTTCTCAAGACTCTGCTTCTAGAATGTTCCTACTTGAGACAGACAAGCACTACTTATCCAAGGAGGACCTGGAAGACCAACTCTAAGAACTTGACATTGATGGGCTCTGCAACCCCTGGTGCTGGCTGCCCCCTCTCTGCCATCGGATAGAGCAGCCTGTGGGGCTTATAAGGACTGGAGCATTATGTATGGGTTTATTCTGGTGGCAACCGGGAGCAGGGCTATGTTCCTGTTTGTCAACTGACCGCATATTTAAGGCTGGAGCAGTGAACATGGGACAATTACCTTGCAACATGAGATGAAGAACACAATATGGGCTTAGGCTTCCACATTCTGTTGGTCAATTCCAATAGTTTTATTTGGTATATGTGCAGATCAAGGAAGCTCTTCTTATAGGTACTGTTTTATGCTGATTATTACACAAGAAATTGATTTATAGCATCAAACCACCCAATATACATAAGTGAGGTCAGAGGGCCTAACCTTGAATTCAGGGGGAAGTCCTTTAAGGCACAGCCTGCAAGAGCACTTTACTAGATGGATCGCAGCTGTTTAATAAGAAGATGCCGGTGCTAGAAAGTTCAGACAGTGGTCAGAAGTCCATAACTAGGAACCTAGTGTATGGAGGGGTATGGGAAGGTCAACATCATCGTTCATATTCCACACACTTGCTGATCCCATTTTACATGCCAGGCACTGTGTTATCTAACGGGGACAAACATGAAAAGGTCAGAATCAAAGTATCTGAAAAAGAAAATCACTGAAGAAATGCTATTGACCATGAGGAGAAACTGTTAAACATTCTCTAAGAATAAATGCTTCAAATTACTGAGAGCACAATTTGAGAATCAGATTGGGGATGCCATGTGACATTTAGCCGCTCTCTTTGAGTTTATATAAATACCTGCCACCATTAGTATAATATTTTCACAGTAGTAATCATCAAGCACCCAAACTTGAGTCTTCTTCCCAAGACAACTGACAAAGAACTAGGTATTTCATGCCACTCTTTGTGCAATAAGCCATCCCATTATGGCAGCTCTCTGAGGTCTTTCTATGAGTAAGCAAATGCCAAAATATTTTTTTTTACTTTCAATCTTTATTGTTGAAAGTATTACATATGTGCCCCTTTTTCCCCCATTAATCCCTTCCAACCTGCTCTCACCTCTGGCCCAAGGCCTTCACAACCCTATTGTCTGTGTTCATGGGTTATAGCAAATGCCAAAATATTGAAAAACTCAACAATTTGAACAGACAGGTACTGTGGTCATCTAAAAAAACATGAGCTCTCCAGAGCTAAAGTTCTCGCAAACTTAGTCCTGATTATTTGGAGATTTTTGATTATTTGGAGATCTTATTTTTCAAAGGAGCTTATTCACAATAGAATGTGATCTCTGAGGCCCAGACACTTTTTAGACCTAACACAGAATATTGTCAAAGTGAGACCTGAGAAGGAACATTGAGGAAGGTTCAATTCAAAATTGCCTTGGGCCCTGGCCAGTGTTTCTGAAGGCTTGTGCACTGAACAGTCTCAGATTGATTCCAGGTCAGGGGTATGTACCTGTGTTGCAGGTTTGATCACTCGCCAATGCCAGGGAACCAATGCCAGGGAACCAATGCCAGGCAACCAATCAATGTGGCTCTCTCATATTGATGTCTCTGTCTTCTCTCTCACCTCCTTCCATCCCTTCCACTTTTTCTAAAGAAACCAATGGAAAAAATATCTTCAGGTGAGGATTAACAGTTAATTCAACACGATCATGTTCACAACATTATACTCTCATTAGCTCCATCAGAAAGTGTCATAATTTTAAAAATATAAAATATTTTAAACTATGCCATTTCCTTTTGGAACTGATCAAAGTAGTTTATTTTATCTTCGCAGAATGATGCAGTCACAAATAATTAAGCTATGATATTCGAGGACATATATGTAGTATAAAATGGATAAACAGGTGAGTAAAGAAGCAGTTTAAATTGGATGGAAAGCCTGGATTGGTGAAAATGCCAGAAGGGCCAGTAAGGAAAATAAGTTCCAATTCTGATTTTTGTCTCTGTTTGTCCTTAGGAAATTGCTTAACTCTCAGTAGGTTATTTTCCTCTTTAAATCAAAGAAAGTTAATGATAATTATCTCTCATAGTTCATGAGGTTATTTTCATGATTAAATATTAAGAACCATCTATTTCCCCAATGCCTGCCCCTCCCTGAGCCTCTCAGGTTATCAATGGAACCCCTCCCAGTCTCAGAGCTCCTTAATGGACCCAGCATAGCTGCTGAGGATGCTAAAAGCAGGAATTAACAATGGACTTTTTTGCAGCCATGCTTCACAGAGCCCCTCGCTGCTGCAGCCAGCATGCCCCTCAGGTTCCCCACACTTGGTCCCTCATTGCAGCTCACCCAACTAGGTAGCCCACCTTGGGGCTTCCTGGGCCCTTAACCGCTTGTGGCAACGAAGTGCAGTGTAAAGGTGGTTCCTCGGCATGGCTAAGATAAGGAAGTGCCTTTCTTTAAACTCCTCTCCCACATTCAGAATAGAAATAAGAAAAGCCTTATTTATTTACTTGGTTGGTTGGTTGTTTGGTTGGTTGATTCTTACACAACCTAAGGATGGCATCTGGTTTTCTAATGGTGTGGCATTGAAGAACTTTCATGGGCTGGCCCATCCCCTGTCAAACCCGATGGTACAGCCACCAGCCTCACCTCCGTGGTCTGCAGCTTCTGCCAAAGCACCAGCTACTCCCTGGCTTCTCCAAGAGCAAACAGGAGCTTTTTGTTTTGTTTTGTTTTGTTTTGTTTTGTTTTGTTTTGTTTTGTTTTGTTTTGTTTTGTTTTGCTTTTGTAAGAGCCATAAAGCAGGCCAGAAAATGGAATGCAGGACACAAATGGAGTTGTCGGTCTGCAACCCCAGGAGAGCCCTTACCTAAACCTAACTATGCAGCAACCTGATCTTGGACCTCCAACCTGCAGACTGTGGAAGATGCATTTCTGTTGTTTATAAGCCACCTAGATCAGTGATGGCGAACCTTTTGAGCTCGGAGTGTCAGCATTTTGAAAAACCCTAACTTAACTCTGGTGCCGTGTCACATATAGAAATTTTTTTATATTTGCAAGCATAGTAAAACAAAGATTTATATTTTTGATATTTATTTTATATGTTTAAATGCCATTTAACAAAGAAAAATCAACCAAAAAAATGAGTTCGTGTGTCACCTCTGACACGCATGTCATAGGTTCGCCATCACTGACCTAGACCATGCATTTCCTTTCTTTCTTTTCTTTTCAGCTTCCCTAATGGAAGAAGGGAGTTTCTAAATTTCTTTTTTAAAAAAGCTCAAAATAAAATGGTTGTTTGCTCTTTACCATGAATCCATTTTCTACTAAAAACAACCAACAATTTCTGTATTTTTTCAAGAGAGGAGAGATGCATGGAGACTACTAAAAACAGTTTAGGATGTTTTGAAGTTAGACAAATTAATCTTAAAACTGTGTGCATTGCCGAAACCGGTTTGGCTCAGTGGATAGAGCGTCGACCTGCAGACTGAAAGGTCCTAGGTTCGATTCTGGTCAAGGGCATGTACCTGGGTTGCGGGCACATCCCCAGTAGGAGATGTGCCGGAGGCTGCTGATCGATGTTTCTCTCTCATCAATGTTTCTAACTCTCTATCTCTCTCCCTTCCTCTCTGTAAAAAATCAATAAAATATATTTAAAAAAAACAAAACAAAACAAAAAAAACAAACTGTGTGCCTCTAGTCCAAATGGAGACTTGAAACCTTAAAAAGTGAACTTTGGGCCTTTGCAACATTGATAGGGTTCAGTTTAGTGTCATTAAAACTCTGCCTGCAGCCACAAGATTCCTGTGGAAGGAAGTGTTAGTTTCCACTCAGCTCCAGGTTCCTTTCTTGTCAGGTGTAGCCCTGCCCTGTGGGTCCTGGCCTGAGTCGGAGCCTGGCAAGTCACAGGCAGAACAGGACCAAGGCGCTCAGCAGCGTAGTTTCCCCAGTCTGCCTGCCCACCACCATCCAAGGCAACCAGACCAGCATCCCTGGCTCCCGCTGTCCAGCTCTTGGTCCACCTAGCTCTGGGCTGCCAGGCACAGCCACTCCATGGGGCAGAGGAAGCGTCAGACCTCACTAAGATCTCACATTTGAAAAGAAAAGGAAAGTAGTAGCTGGGTTGGACAAAGAGATCCCCAGATCTGGCAAAGCCTATGCCTATGCAGTAGAGAATTCTGGGGCAAAGACTGACCCATAGCCACGTCCTGCTTGGGCAGACACTGGGAGCTCTGCTGAGCTGGGCCTGGGAAGGGCATGGCTTTTGCTCTGGCAGCAGGAAGCTGTCAGCTAACTGCTTACAAAATTTTCTTTTCTTCTTTTGCATTTTTATGCTGTACATTAGATTCCTAGAAGGATAATAACTGCTGAAAGTGACTCAAGCCAAAATAAAATCTAAAGAGGTTAAATTAAAATAAAAACCTACAACCAAAGAAAAACCCAGTACCAGATGGCTTCACTGGTGAATTCATTAAACATTTAAGGAATTAACATCAATACATTGCAGATACTTTCAAACACCAGGAGAAGAGGAAGTACTTAACCATTCATTCCATGAGGTCAGTGTCCTTTTAAGATACTGTACGAAAAAACAAACTATGGACCAATAACCTTTATGAATCCTACATAATAAGAGGGTTATATGCAAATAGACTGAATGACAGAACAACCAATCAAAGCGTAATATGCTAATGATATGCTAAGG